AAAGAAATTATAAAACACTGCACAACATAGCAAGTGGCCTAAGAACAGCAATGAACAGAAATATGCTCTGCTATAGAAGTATCTTTACTAAGTGTGTAAAAAGAAAAAGTTTTAATATACAGGGTCTTCACAAAAAGGATACGTACTAAAGATATTTTTTAAATGATACACCCTGTCTTTTCACATGAAAACGGGGAGTGTATTAATTGTTTTTTTTATTCTATAGCTTATTTTATGTGTACCTACACTGTTGCTTGTTTTGATAATAGTTTTAGTAAATTAATGGAAACTTACAAATTTTCTTCATCTTCCTCTTCTCTTTCCGTGGAAATTGGGTCATGTAAAGGTTGGGGATACTTATCCGGAATTAAATTTTGTTTGTCTTACCCTGAGAACACAAGCTGTAATAATGAGTATCACTTGCACATTACTTGAATAATCGATAAAAAATGTGAACTACCCCCTACACTGAAAGTTACATTTTATATATATTTATTGGATGAGGCACGCGGTGTGGCTATACAAATCGTATAATTTGGTAGAGATTGATGTATAAAAGTACTAGAAAACCATATCCACCAAATACTTATTCGGGATATACGCAGGGTGAGTTTGGGATTGTGTCTGTCTGTCCGTCCGTCAATACGATAACTGCTAAACTCTTGGGCCGATTCGGTTCAAACTTTGCACAGTTGACGAGCCTATTGAAAATCATAGGGAATAATCTAGCGAAAGTCCGAACTCGATACATGACGTATAAGGAACGAAATATGTTGATTTCTATTATCTTGAGCCTCGTCTTGAGCGCACAGTTTTCCTGTTCTCGATTCACTCGAAGTCCTATAACTTTTGTTCCGGTTGAGCCTGCTTTCTGAAAATCGGTAGCGTCCTTTAAGGCGGCTAGGGACAGGCCATTCAAAATTTAAGCTGCGCCTACGCGAATAATTATATAGGCAACCAATCGTGCAATTCGACAAGTTTCACCAGGCATAAGTTACCTGCAAATGACCTCATCTTCCTACAATAAAACTAGATTCCAGACCCTCATTAGCGGCTATTCAACAAAAGTAACTGATTTATGGAATTTCAACTTTCTCCTGATGTTTTACAGTTTTACTAATACTGGAAACCTTTGAAAATAGAATAGGAAATCAAAGCTGAAAGCTCTACATACCTATATAAAAATATTACTAATGTATTACTTTCTAAGATTTCCTACTTAGGGGAGAGTGGTTGAAGATGACGCACCTAACAGGAATCGCTTACTGTTTTTTTATTTATTGCACGAACAATGCCAAATCCGTTAAATAACTATATGGCAGTGTTGGTAATTATTATATACCCACATTATTTTTTTTAGTCTCATAAAAACCTGGTAGGCATAACATTCTGAAAAAATTGCATTGCGTCGTCTTTTCCTTGGGGTTTGGGTAAGTTGACGCACTTATTAAAATGCACTATGGTGATAAAGGCTAACAAATTGACTCAAATAAAAATATATTATATAAAATTAAAATAAAACAAAACAACTAAAACCTTCATTTTACAAAGTAAAAGCTAAATTCAAGTAATAATGCCATTAAACACAGTAAAAACAAAACACTCAATTTTGGCATAAGTCACATACAAAACCTTTAGGAGAGTCAACACCGCTGCACACTGTGTGCCCAATAACCGCAAATAGTGCACCTATACCACATTTCATTTTTTGTTCCAGTGTCTCCACAAATAATACATTGGTCGTATTCAGAAGCATTGCTAATATCGTCCAGTTCATCGTCGTCACATATTTCTTTTTCGTCGACACTTATTTCACTGTCAGAGTCAGATTCCTTGTAAACTTTTCTCACAACTTTGCCTTTCTTCTTTGTTTTCACGGTTGCATTTATTTTCCCTGCTACTGCCATGGCTTTTCGGTTTCGTTTATTTTCTTTTTCCTCCAAATTCTGTTTGAAAAGGGTGCTAGTTAAGACTTCTGAATGCTGCTTTTTACGTACATTCTTCTCAATTTTCTTGGCCTGTGCTTTGGGTACAGGTAAAAGTGTTGAAATTGGAATTTGTTCCGGTATAAAATAAAGCTCTGTTGCTGACGGTACTGGTTGTTTGCTTGTTGATGGTAGCAAAGGCACTGATTGTGTGCTTGTAGATGGTTGTGGAGATAGTTCTTGAGGTAGATGTTTAGATGATGGTGATTGATGCAATTGAATTTCCTTTAAAGGTTGTTCACTCATAAAGCTATCGGCTGGTGCAAAATCTTCTTCTGAAAATTTTTCAGAATTAAGTGGATATATTCCAGCGGCGGCAAAACCTGAAACTCCTTTTTCCACATTTGCCACTTGCTCATATGCCACTTTAAAAATTTCGGCTACATCATGAGTTAATGTGTTTCCTTCTTGTGGGTTAGAAATTTTTCTCTTCAAAAATAGGTTACATTGTCTGCTGTATGCGTTTTTAAGTGGTCCAAAGAAAGTAAGGTCGAGGGGTTGCAAACTTATGTGATGTATGGGGCGGAATGCTAACCATAATTATTCCATGACTCTTACAGAATTCATAAATGGGCAATGAAATGTGGCTGGAATGATTATCCAATACAAGCAATACTGGATTATCAACAGTAGAAGATACCTTTGCTTGAAAATGTTTCAGCCACATTACAAAAACTTGTTCGTTGCTCCATCCATTTTTTGTGCACGTATAAATAGAACCAGAAGGTCCATTTTTTTGGAGATGAGGACTCATCCTCAGTCGAGGAAAAATAAATAAGGGGGGCACAAAGTTTCCTGTGGCACTGACAGCGCAGATCACGGTAATGTTTTTCCCACGTTCCCAGGAACAAATAGTACCAAACTGTTTCACACCAGTTGGTGCCAGCCTTTTACCGACTTCTTTTGGTGTTGTAGACACCCCTGTTTCGTCTACATTATATATCCGATCCGGGCCAAATTTGTTTTTTGTTAATACTTGTTCTAGATTATCAAAAAATCTATCAACCTCCAGTTTGTTAAAGGCAGACACCCTACTTATACTGGTCCCTTCCGGTTTTCTCAGAGAAATATCAGAATTCCTCTTAAGAAAACTTCTAAACCAGTCTGGCCCTGCCATCGCTGTTTCCTTATTAAAACGATGCTTGATATGATTTATTTCGGCATATTTGTAAGCCACCTGTCGTAACTCAGTGGGCGTTATTCCAAAGAATAACCTTGCGAGAGATTTTACTTGTTCGGCAATTTCCCGTTCTTGTTCTTTAGAGAAAATTGGAGCGCGCCCTAGTGCCTCAGATTTCCTGTCCTTAATTTTTCTTTTAATTCCCAAATGACGTCGCAAAGTTGCCTCATGTATTCCAAAATCTCGAGCAACTGCCCGGATTTTACGACCTTTCTCTATAGCATCAAGCGCAGAGTCAAGGGAAGCTTGGCTGAAGTTCCTCCTTTCCGTTTTTCTCTGGTACTTTCCCATCTAGGACGAAAGCAATTGTTGTAAGTTCGGTAAAAAAAATTGCTGGCAAAGATAACGCAACGGTCCACTGTGCGTCATCTTTACCAATATGAAACGCGTCATCTTTGCCAATGCGTAGCCATGACAAAAAAAAATTATTTAGCAAATTCTTCTAATGTTTATGAGTGCCGCAATTACTTAAATTAACAAACATAACATGCAATTCAAGTACATACCATCCCCTAGTTCTGACAATGTTAACAAAGCTACTTTTTGGAAACAAACTTCTTGAACACTACAATAACAATCAACACACTATCACGTTGGCGTCATGTTTAACACTAAGCGGTAGTAGGATTCGGTTGAAACTTTGCACTGACAGTCCTGGTTACGTAAGCAATGAAATTTCCCGCGCAATTCGAAATTTAAACTATTAAATGAGGCAGTTATGAGGTGCGTCATCTTACCAACTGCGCCATCTTAACCCACTCTCCCCTACTTCCTATATATAGGGATTTTGAGATTTGGACTTGGGTAATGAAGGGAACAATTTCCGAAACAAGAACAACTGGTCTTCAATTTTTGTGGTTCATAGCACAAATTTATTTAAACAATTATCACATCCGATCAAACTACGGCCCCATAGTCTAAATTTATATGATAACGATTTTCACAGGTGCGCGGATGTAAGAATAGCACTTTTCTTCAATTAGATGAACAGTTTTCGATATTTCGCATGGCTTCCGCAATGTAGCCCGGTATTTGCTGCGTTTTCAACCTTCTCCCATTTATCAAATTATATATCTGAATTCTGATCTAATTTACAACAAAATAACAAATAACAAAATATAGATTTTTGGAAATTTTCCACACGACATTCGCCTGATGCTTTACGAAAATAGTTTATTTGGCTAGCCGTCAAACCTAGAGTGTAATTATCAAAAGCATAGGTAGATTAAAAAATTATCAAAGTCCTCGTGTGGGATCGAAGAGAGATCAGCGCATTTTTGTATGGCAGATCAGCCACCATCAAAAAGATCTTATCGCAAGCTAACACAATCCCCTTTGTCGGTACCCACAATTCGCATTTAGATGAATTTGCTAAAAACTCTCCACAAAATACCTACTTCTCAATTTTTGGGGCACTTTTCATAGCTCTATTAGCCACACGAGAAAGAGAGATCGCGATTCGAGCTTTCAGAAACAAAATTCGCAGAGGAAGATACCTTTTGGGCGCCCTAAGTCAACTACCCCTCGCAGACGTGCGCCTTGTAAAATGAGGTTAATTTTGTACCCAGGAAAAAAACAAATTTTCGCCACGCTGTTGTTGTGTCCGTTTACAAGATCTTTCCAACGGCACCATTTTGAAAACAATCTGAAATGTGGTGGCCCCCGCCAAGATCTTACTGATGGTGGAGTAAAACTTCAAACACAAATTGGGGATGCACGGGACGTCGGACGCGAGTACCGACGAAGGGAATGTGGTATTTTCGACAAAATCTCACACGGGGACTTTGACAATTTTTTACTAACGACATGCTGAAATAAATAGTATACAAGCTGTTTATGCAAGCTGACGCCTTGCAGTCCTATATTTGCATGTTAAAATTAAAACTTTGTTAATAGCTAGCATTATAATATGTAGTTCATCGCCCACTCAATACAATTGAAACAAATTCATCATCTACTTGAAAGTGCATTCACAACTATACACTACCATCGAAAACTCAGAAAGCGGCAAATCAGAGCTTTTCAAGTATCACTCTTTTGGTGTTGTTAAAATGCGACTCTTGAATCAAATTAAGTTTATTACAGTGATGAGTGATTTTTACTTACGTCAAAGTTGAGCGTGCAGAGAAGTTGCAATGAATCATATGTTAAGCTTCCTTGGAAACTCAATTTTAAATAACAGGTAGGTAATCGAAATTAATTTATTATAAATTTATAATTTTAAAACTCAGTTTATTTAAAAATTTGAAGCTAGTTAAACTCTAATTTTTAGCGGCATCAGTTTCCGTTTGAGTTGAAGGCTCAGAATTTGGATTTTCAGGGTTTTCAAAATTATTTCCATCGAATTCCCCATCATTTACACAGGACTGTGAAAGCTTCTCAATTTCAATTTCATTGAGGATTTCAGCTCGTAATTTTGATTTTAACGCAGTATCCAATCGCGCTGGTTTCTCTGGATCAAAATGTTGGTTTGGACGGCCACATAGGTAACAGAACTTAGCAGTACCTGTAAAAATCACAGAGGCACACACAAATATATATAAAATAGTAAATTCACATTTAAGTGTTTAAATTTTACCAACTCGGATATTAACTTACACCTCAAAAATACAGAACAGCGTACACATCTACGATACAATCCATCGGATTTATCAAGGAATTCTATTTCTATTTGACAAACACGACATTTTTGGTTGGGGTACTTTTCCAACGCGAAACAATCAATAACCGCGTTACAATTAGTACAAAATCGATCGAATCTGTCCGTCAGTACTGGCAAATTATGCGAGTGCGCCGCAGAAAATCCCCCTGACCGTCTTTCTTGAGTACCACTTGGTTGCGCCATTTTTTGACTTTTCTAAAATTAATCAGTATCACAAAAAAGTAGGAACGTATTGATTATCACTGACTAACTTAAATTAAAACTTCGATTTCAAAGTTAAACTTGTCCTGTATCCTTCACTCACGTAACACAAATGTGAAATGAACTTAAAATGCACCTGAAATTAATGTATTCACGACTCTTTTAAAAGTAAAACTAAACCGCGGACTAAGCATTTTACAGACAACGACTCACTCAGATCGAGTAAAAATATTACGTAGAATTAACCATGAAAGAAAAACAGCACCATTGTTTAAATACTTTTTAAACAATGACAGCACATTTGCCATCCAAGTTTTACATTACTGGGTACGCAAACGTATATATGTAGGCATTAAAGAATTTCTCGGTAAATACAGTTATATGTATAAACGGCGTCGTCTTCTTCGTAAATTTTTCCTTGGCTATTCCCGTCAACAATTTGCACAAATAGGCCATCCCGACTTTTGACACGCGAAAATGCTGTGTACAATTGTCCGTGTGTAAAAACAGGTTGAGGAAGGTACACACCAATCCTTTCAAACGTTTGCCCTTGCGATTTTGTTATAGTAATCGAGTAAGCAAGACGAAGAGGAAACTGCTTTCTACTAAATTTAAATGGAAGGTCCGTGTTTGATGAGTCAATTAGTATTCGCGGAATTAGAACTTTCTGTCCTTTACGATGTCCAGAAAATATGCTGCACTCTATAATATTATTTCCAAGTGATTCCACAATCAGTCTCGTCCCGTTACAAAGGCCATGCTTTGGATTTAAATTTCGTAACAATGTGACGCAACATCCTTGCTTAAGATTCAAGCAGTGTGGCGGAAATCCCATAGGTGTCAGTGAGTGCAAAAATTCAACCGGATACTGAGCCTCCTCCTCCTCACTTTCGCATTCGGCGACCTTATCAATGCTAAAATATTATCACAGTTAGTTTAGCGGTAAAATAATGTAAAAAAAACTTTAAATGTTCTCGTATTTACCTGTAATATGATTTTTGCTCGCCATTCAACATGGCCAAAACTTTTTCGTTAATTAATAGCGTGTCCGCATTTTTTGGGCATAGAATAGCCATTGACGCAAGACGATCTGAGGACAACGTATTGATATTTTCTCCGTAAACAGATTTGACAATATCGTCAGTAATTATATCACTGCTTAGCTGAACAAAATCACAGTGTTTTGCTGCAGCATCAACTCCACCTCCAACTGATAAGAGCCATTCTCCAAATACTGCATTGCCTTGGTTTAGTCGCATATTTTGTAACAGTTTAAGCTCCTTGAAATGTTTCCAAACCGGGCTGCTTTTCACGCATGCTTCCACAATCTGGACCCGAGTTCCATGCGGAACAACAGGTGCCTGTTGGCGAAAATCCCCCCCGACCACTATAACAATTCCGCCAAACGGATCATCGCAGTTCATCAGAAATCGTAGGCTTCTATCAACAGCGTTCAAAAGATGAGCATGACACATTGATATTTCGTCCCATATAATTAGCTTTGTATTTTTGAGTTCCCTCCATGAGTTTGTGCCTTGTTTAAAACGCGATGTAGTTGTTTCATCAAGATTGATGGGGATGCCAAAGCCAGAATGGACGGTTTTTCCACCTAAAATAAAAGTCATAGTGAATTTACATTTTCAGGTACACTTTGTTGTTTTCATTCAAATACCTTTGAGCAACGTTGCAGCTAAACCTGTTGGAGCTACAGATTTGACCGTTCCTCCATTTCCAAGGATTGTTGATGTTAATGCTTTATATACAAACGTTTTTCCACATCCTCCTGCTCCAGATAGATAAAAGCATTTGTTTTCTGAGATGCCGTTTACAGAATCCATGATAGTTTTGTAAGCAAGCAATTGCTCTGCATTGTCGTTCATCATTGTAACCAATCGATCAGCTTCTTGTTGCTCGTGTACAGCGTCAACTTCTTCCAAAATGTGATAGCCGTCTTTTGGAACTGGAAGTCCATAGTCTTTGCACGATTTTCCAAATTGCATCAAATGCTCTTGAATATCTCTCAGCGCCTGTTGCTCTGCCATATACTCACTGTGGTTCTGTAGGTAATCCTCCATTAACGACGTCTTGTATTTTAAGTACAATTCCGAAGAGGTGCTCGGATGAACCTGGATTAATATTGTCGCAAAAAGTAGACGCAATTCTCGTGGCATTCGAAAAAGTTCAGCTTCGTCCATGGCTTTGTCCCACTCTTCATCATCGTCTAAAAGGTTAATAGCTTTAGCAGCTTCCTGATATGTATCGTGAAGTTTTCCGTTCACAGTTCGTAAATCTTCATAGGATGTGGCGCCTGTCAATTAAATAAAGATTTTGATTTATATTATTAATCTTATGGAATAAACAAAAAATGTAAGTTTTGTTAAATCCATTTTTAACTCTTACCTCGAACATGAAGCAACAAAAGCCGAAGGCAGTATTTTTCCATATCCTTTAAATTTACAAAGTACATCCTGGCAACTACTTTATCTCCACCTAGTTTCCGGGGCTGCCAATGGTTGGATCTCCAAACATAGTGGTAGGGTATATCACAGTATAAGTACTTCCGTGCATTTACGTCGTTTGCATTTAACTGGAACCATCGCGTTAATTTGGTCCCCTTTTTGGCAGCAGCTTCCAAATCACGACGCTCAGCGCCCTCTTCAAAATATACCATTTGCTCAAGCGGGAGGTGAACAGGTAATCGCTCAACAGAGTGGGACCTTCCGGACATTTCGTATTTTTTTAACCTCCACATAGCTTCCGGCGCTGCTATATAACGCGTGTCTAAATAAATCTTGACCTCATCCCAATGATAAGTTCCAGAGCCCGTTGCTTCATTCATTTGAACAATGGCGGCATCATGGCCTTTGTAAATATATTTAAAAATATATTTTATGCTCTGGATTGATGAGCATATTTCAACATTAATGTGAGCATTGTACTTTCGCGACATGTATGGATTGTACGGGACTACCCACCGATTATCTAGTTTTACTCCTTTTATTTCCACAGTACGGTCCAAGTTTCTGCGACGATAAATTGGATAGCCGTTTACATTAATATTTGTTTCATCGCAGAATTCTTTTAGAAATTTTTTAATGCAGGAAATATGCCCTTTGTTCTCTTCCATGCAAGGGGCATCTTTTTTAAGTTCACCGCACGGGCCATGCATCATGCAAGACGTTATTATTTGAAATAGAACTGGGTCAGCAACAGGATCCGGAATCTCAGCAGAAACTGCATTATCAACATCAGCGGCTTCGCGAAATTTGTCTTCATCGTCAAGAATAACTAACATGTGGCAATGGGGCAAACCTGCAGCAATAGACACATTAAATTTTCATTTTTAATCATTCCATTAAAGTTGGTTAGAAGATTTTAAAATGAAACTAAAAATGTACTAACCTCTTTTTTGGAATTCAATTGTGTAAATAAACGCTTTTACTTTTCCAAAAACTCCTCCCTTGTTAGACACCAAATCGTTAATAAATTCCTTTAGCTTCAAATGAAAAACGGTCCCAACCAAATCCGGTCTATCAATTGCTGTTTCTTTGTGTTTTAATTCGTCGCGGATTTCCTTCCATGTGGGATTGCACGTGAAAGTAATAAATAAGTCTGGCTTTCCGTATTTCCCAACTATGACCATTGCGTCCTGATAATTCTGAGTTAGAGCGCGTTTACTTCCTGTAAAACTGGATGGCAAAATAACAATTCGTCCTGGCTTTAAATCCTTTATTTCCGCCTGGTTGTGTACGTAATCCATAAGGCCGCTGTACATGTCAACTCGCAATTTCTTTTGATTTGTTTTATTCCAAACTAACCGTCCACCTTCGACTTTCAAAAATGCATCCACAATATACATTTGCGTCAGTTTGCCTAAATGAAGGATTGGGTTAAAAGACTCTCGTTCTTGCATCCGGTAGGAATAAAATTCCAGCATGGAGATATTTACAACCTTTCTTGTCTCGTCAGCTTTCTTAATTCCAGGCTGCCATCCTGCATCGCCAAACGGAAACATAATTGGATAGGTCATAGGATCACAATTTGGACTAAATATATCGATATTTTGCAACTGTCCAGTTCCCTTATCATAAACAGCCATATCTCGTTTAAATCCAGGTTCCCCATCTTTAGAAACAAACACTGCAGCAACTTCGTTTGCTACAGGCAAATTGTATCGGCGAGGGTCATGTTGTCTATCCTTAATAATCCACATTTCAATTGTATTTTGATTTATATCCATGAGATCTTTCATCATTTTAAAGGCTTCGGCAAATGGATTACGTCGCAGGACTTTTTCAATAATATCAAAAACTTCTTTTCTGCATCCCTCGTTGTGTGTGTTCTGAGACCGCATGTTATTTGCATATTCGGGATCCAAAAAGTAAAGTTGAGCATAGGATGGTTCTGTTTCTTTGTTGTCGAAGTTGTCACTATAAATAAATAATGGATACAACCAAAGTTGCATTTTTTGTTCATTCCGTACTTGATTACCGTTCTCTCGAGTTTTACATTCCGTCAATTGAAAACAAATAATCCATAATTAATTTAACGTACCTGGGTTTAATGGATGTTGTTGTGCGATGGTAGACTTGACCATGGATGACAAACGTTGGAGGACCACCACGAAGTTTAACTGGTTGATGCCCAAATGATGCAAATCCGAAGGCGCTATTAAAGTTCCGTACGTTTCTCATAAAATTTTTGCCGTTTTCGGTGCTCTGGGTAGCTAATTCCCGTAGTTCCAAAGGATAATCATTCAGTTGTCGTAATGTTACACTTCCGTTCTCACAACAATGAGAAACATGTCCTTTAAATGTCTTTTCTCCATTGAAATGTAAAGCTCCACAATGTACGCATTTAAAACTTTTTGTTCCCAAATAGTGTTCGTCAGGCCGGTTATCCGGATTTCGAGCAACATATTTAGATGGCGGGGGTAATTTCATTCTTTGTAGCTTTTGACTTTCGTTTCTTAAATGAAGTCTTCGTTTTTCTGCTTTCTGTTGTTCTGGGGTCATTTTTAATCTTTGTCGTTGCGACCTTAGCTTATCGGCTTCTTTTTCCGCATCACTTTTATTTGCTTGACGTTTACGGCTGTATTCTCTCATTCGTGCCTTCCGTTCTTCGCTTGTTGGAGTTTTTGATGAACTGGCTACAGGCGGTGTCAAATTCATAGTTTTCTGTAATTTAAACACTTTTAAAAATTTGCCAAGATTTCATCATTAACTAAACCATGCCGGTTTCATCATCAACTCAATCAACTAACCAATATTGTATTTAAAAGTATTTGACTTACCTTCAATTTGTGTTAAGCTACTTTATTCCATAAATTGTTCTATTTCGTCATTTAAATCAACACTATAAATTTAACAACGTTTACTAATTTACAATAAACAGATTTATTAAAAATTACTTTTACTGTCAGTTTCTTTATTCGTTTTTTACTCCTAAAAGTGATGTGAAATAAAAGTAAAACTAAACCCACTCAGATCGAGTAAAAATATTACGTTGCATTATGTTGAATTAACCTTGAAAGAAACAGTACGTTTGCCATCCAAGTTTTACAATGACGCGCGAAAATACTGTGTACAATTGTCCGTGTGTAAAAACAGGTTGAGGAAGGTACACACCAATCCTTTCAAACGTTTGTCCTTGCGATTTTGTTAATTAAGCAAGACGAAGAGGAAAATGCTTTCCACTAAATTTAAACCGTTTTTGATGAGTCAATTAGTATTCGCGGAATTAGAACTTTCTGTCCTTTACGATGTCCAGAAAATATGCTGCACTCTATAATATTATTTCCAAGTGATTCCACAATCAGTCTCGTCCCGTTACAAAGGCCATGCTTTGGATTTAAATTTCGTAACAATGTGACGCAACATCCTTGCTTAAGATTCAAACAGTGTGGCGGTAATCCCATGCTTAAGATTCAAACAGTGTGGCGGTAATCCCATAGGTGTCAGTGAGTGTAATATAATAATTCAACCGGATAGGAACGGGGAAGTGGCTCTTAATAAAGATATATTATTATACGAGCATGTTATGACGCTTATTATTCACGAGGTTGACGTTTGCGACGCGAGCGAGCTTGCGAGCGAGTGGAGCAAGTAAACCGAGTGAATAAGAGCCATAACATGCGAGTGTAATACTATACTTTATCTACGACTATTACTTCAATTAGATTAATATTTTATTAGCATTTACATTACAATAAATACTCGCAAAAATAACTAAAATGAAAACAAAGTAAGCAGGATTTAATTCTATAAAGGAAAGATTTCTTATTTAACGTCGAATTATGGCGGAGTAAGTTCTGTGGTAGATCTTGAAAAATTAACTGTCATAGTACCGTAATTAACAAATGTTATAGAATTTGGTTGCAAGTTGGTTTGAGCATGGGTCTCAAAATGTGCATTTGCATTTAATACGTTAGTACTACAAGATGTCTTGATGATGATGCTGCAGGTTGTGGAGCGATATTGGAAGTAGAAATCACAGAGCTTGAAATTTTTGTAGCGGTATCCAACTTATTTGTCAAGGAAGTATCAACGTATCCTTCGGCTACGGCTGTCGATTTCCAGCCACCGTGTCGTTTCAAAGCCATGATGTCTCCACCAGCATCAATTAGGATTGTTGCGGATGTTCTTCGGAAATAGTGACCGGTGTATAAATCCGTGTTTGTAATTCTCAAAAAGGTAGCAATATCTTTGGGCATTTTCGCAAATTTGTTAATTCCAATTTTTTGGCTTGTGTATTTTCCCTTTTGGAAATTTAAAAAAAAGAAGGGGGATTGTACGGTAGGTGGGCGCAATTTCGCATATTTCTTGTATATATCAAAGAATTGACCCGTAACTGTAAACGTTCGGACAATTTTAGTTTTAGTTTTAGGTATTGTGATAATAACTCCCCCTTCAAAATCTTTAATATCCTCGACTTTCATGTCACTTAACTCACAGGCTCGGCATGCACCCATTAAACCCATTATCAATGCAACCTAAAAATACGAAAGATTAAACTAAGATCCGTACTAAGAAACGTCAGAAACCTTTGTTGCAAGATATACTTCGTCAGGTGCATTATTCAAAAATGCATTTATCTCCTCGGGGCTGAAGATTTTAGATTTCTTCCTAAGATGTCCATCTGATTTACGTTTAAAAAAAGTACGTAGTTTGGGATATTTATCAATTTCCACTCCATCATGAAGATTTAATGTAGTTCGTAACATCGAATAGAATGTCCACAGTGAAGAGGAAGAATACTTTTTAGATAACTCTTCGAAGTATACAAGAAGAACATTTTCAGATAAAGATGTCGATGATACCTTTTTTTGACGTCTTCATTCCATAAACTTTCCATGTACGTGTTCGTACCTACTTCGTTCGAGACTTTTCGGGCAATAAATTTGAACACACTTCTTCTGCCTGGTGTATAACCTCAGGAGGTGTACCCACGGCCACGAGTTCATTATTTTCGTTCTCACTATCGAGGTTCATTACTAACTTATGAATAAGCTAACGGAAAAATACTAGCGAGAATGATTGTCACGATAATTAACATTTTCATGTTTTGTTTTCAAGGAGCGCGCTATTTTGGAACCATTGAGTTATGAATATTATTCAATGGATTGCAACCAATCATAGCCCAAGTTTGATTCCATAACTGCATAGCAATTAATTATGGCTAGCATTATTTATAGAAATAGAGGCATATTATAAGCGCATAATTTAATGGTCGTAGATAAAAATTATTACTTGTAATACTACTAGTGCTTGCTATTTCCGGAAACTTTTCGAGCTCACAAATATTTGAACTTTTGCAAAATATTCGTGAGCAAGAAAAAAATTCTATTCAAGCACTGTGGTATTCGGTAAGAAAATTTCACACCATAGTGACCCTCAACGAAAAAGTGACGTTTTATGTCAAAACATTATTACCTTTTTACGTCAAAAAAATTGACGATAAATTCCTTGGTTGCCATGGAAATGTGACAATGTGACACGAAATCCGCATTTCATTGGTCGACAAAATTGCTGGTTGAAATTTTCTTTGAGATTTGTCACCTAAAGTATGTAAGACACAAGATTATCAATTTTTGTATGAACAGTTTTTTAACAGAGCTGCTAGATTCAAGAAGGTGCCGACAACAAACAATTCGTTATGTTTATCTATAATAGGTACATCGTCCAAATTGTACATAATTTTTATGTAATCGATATTATTAAATTGCTTTTTGATAAGTAGGTAACAATACACGTACATCAAATGTATGAAAAAAAATGTATGAAACGGGTCTAAAAAATTAAAACGTTGTTACTCCTCAATATTACATTTATTGATGTACAATATTTTTTTAATTATCGGTCAATTATCGTTGGTACTAATAGACGAATAAATGGAAGGCATTGAGATTCTTTTGTTACTGGTCCAATAGGATCATAAACCATTGTATATAAGTATAATGGTCATTAGGTGTTAATATTTTCCAGGTAAAAGTGCTACCTGAGTTGCCTATCGTCATTGTATGGAAGGTATTGCATTTCTTCCGTCACTATATTTTATATAAACTTTTGAGTAAAAATTACGTTTTATTTCATAATTTGAAGCAGTTCGTAATATATTTTTTTAATCCACTTAGTTACTAAATAAATTGTGCGGATTTACTTTTTAAATATTTTTTTTACTAAGGCCAGTATTCGCGTTCTTAGTAAATTCAAGATTATCGTTTATACACGCCTTAAATAATTTTATCAAAAAAATAAATCGCTACATTTAATGACTTTCTATATCTCTATCAATTTCCGATAAGACCTCTAGTTAGAATTAATATTCAAAAATTACTCAAAAGTTTCGACTTTTAATGCAAATTTCAGTGACCATTGTGTGTTGCCTATCCTCTCTCCCTAGCCCCATTAATGTCCAAAGTACCTGGTACGCCAATTTCAATACGATCGGCCACTTTCAAAAGAGTTATAGCGCACGCAGAGCCAGAGGGACGGACGGACAATTACGATAGTAAGAATCTGAGGATTGATTCTTAATAATTTAGTGACAGTGCTGTGTTGTAAAAGGGCGAAGTCAATCTTTAGTGGCTAACTTTTAGGTGATAGTAGTTCATATCCATTCGATAAAGTTGTCACTTACCTCTTACAACGAGCTTTATAGCTTTTTTTCCGATATGCACTTCCATCTTTTCTAGAAGTGCGCCCCATTTTCATACAAGTCACAATCTACCTAACACAAAAGCCGAAAGCAAAAGTAGCCGATACGAGATACACGGGTGTATACGTACTGTAGGTACCTAGGTATATGGTAATCGGATGTTCCTGGTAAAACTCTCAGGTTTACTCATATCACAGACAACATATACTACAGACGGTCAATGCAATGTTATAGAAAAAAACGCAACACCTAATAGAGTACGGTTAGTGTGTTGTCTACCTTGAAGCAGTCGAAATAATTTGTCGTAAAATGTGGTAGACGCACAGAAAACTGTTGTGTGTGGTAAAAGTGTGTAATAGATGGAGTCATTTTTGTAAAAATAAAATACATATACTCAAACCTTATTTCCTCGGCTTCAACGCCGGCCTTTACGTAGATAAGATAAGCGCTCACTTGTATAACATCATAAATTACATGAAATCGCATATATTTTAATTCTTCATTTTTCTCTTTTCTAAACATTTAAAAAATTGATGGAGCGGGTTTGGTTATACAAGGGCGGAAACTAAATTTGGCCTCCACATATAAAATTATGAGGTTGGACAAGGAAAGATTTTATTAGAATAATAAACATAATTTTTGTTTTTCCATAATATATTATTATACCGGGTGGTGACTTGAACAACGCACCATAGGAATTGCAATAGTAATTTTTTTATTTCTGATTATTGACTTCTCTAATTATTTTAGAGAGAAAGTCTATTTTTTGTAGAGAAAAAAAGTACGAATCCATGCATACTATAGCTTTTAATTTTCTGAACTTTGAATCCAAGAAATTGGATAACTAAAAACTGGCGCTTTTAAGAAATCAGTGGTGCCATGGCAATTTGAGATCAAACAGGGCAAATGCAGGCGCTTTTGTTTGATTTCCTAACTCCATGGAATTACCGACTTTATAAACGGGACAGTTTTTAATTTTTAAATTTTTACTGATTCTGAATTTATAAAATACGAAACAAGAGTATGTACGGATTCGTTTATATAATTCGAGGTAAATCTTTCACTCACGCCTTTGACGCTCCCGACGAAGGCGACGACGGGCGACTTCAGCGCCCCCCAGACTTGGCGAGCAGGGCCTGGGCCCCCCTCGCCCCTCCCCCTCGCACGGCCTTGCCTACCTATATGTATCTGTGATAATACCATCACAAAATTTTTTGATTAGGAGAGGGAGCACTTAACGTACTTTATTTTATGTCAATGTGTAGGGTCAACATAGTCCTGTCAAATTAGTAAACCAAGTGTATTCTATGTAGTTCCCTGCCCGGAAGCTCCCGGAACATATTGCTATACACAAAAAACCAAGAAAAAATGGAAAAATGCAGTTTTTTTTGCATTTGACTTCTAATTATCTCGGCAACTATTGCTCGAACTCATAGAAATGAATTTGTTTAGAATCGAATTTTCAGTTGGTACCTACAGAACCGTTCATTTTTAAATGTTATTGTTTTGTCTGGAAAAATACAAAAAAGTAATCCTAAAAATTAACATTTGTTTTTGTTGATACGCCCTTCTCGATGCTTTGTCTTTCAAACTGGATGACTCCCAGAGCGTTTTCAATATTTTTATGGATGGTGGAACCGTAAAACAACCTATTCCAACAATTGTCTGTTGTCCCGATGAGTTTTGCAAATCGACGGACTGTGGAATTAGAATTAGTTTAGTGGAAACCCCAGAAATAGAACAAGAAAGTAACTTTATAATAGGCACTCTGTTTAATAAAAATCATACCAACTGTATCTGATAGAAAAATCGATTCTAAACAAATCGTTATCTTCATTTTTTCCGTAAGAGGAATAGTTAACGAGATACCTAATTAAGTCAAATGCGAAAAAACGATGTTTTCCCATTTTTCTTCGTTTTCTTGTGTATAACAATATGGTCCCGGAGTTTCCGGTCAGCTAGATTGTCATTTACGGATTCAGGGGATTTTTTTGCATACAATACACATGGTTTCGGTGAGTGAAGTGACAACACACTAAACCGGCAGACAGTAATAGATACAAAACTATAAACCATTTCGAGGATCGCTATTAAAACTTTGCTTTGTGACAATTTTCGTAGGTAATTGCACAAGTGCATCAAAATGCTCTTTTAACAAATTATGAAAATAACCTGACGCAGTTTTTTACTGATAAATACATGAATAAACAAGTAAAAAGGTTCTCGCCCTAAGGCGAGTAACTTCAACGCATTTTCCATAAATTGATCAATACTTCCCCAAAGGCCATACCTATGTGCGCTACGTTTTTCATTACTAGACGCATATATGGTTAAAATTCTTCATAAATAAGGAAGTTGACACTTACTGCGCAGTTGATATTGCGCGTCCTGCGCATGCGCTTATTAATCCGATATTTGCAATATGCGATACGTTTGCTTTTACTATAAGTATCTTTGGTTAACATTTCAAAGAAATATCTCCATAAATAAGAAAGTTTGCATTGCGCAGTCTGCGCATGCGCACATCTGCTTTTTACTATATGCGATATATTTGCCTTTACTACAAGTATCTGTGATTAAAATTTCAACAAAATATAGTAATATATAAAAAAGTTAACATTGCGCAGCCTGCGCAGTTCAATCGTCAAGATTTTCTTTGACTCAGGTGCCAGAGCGATATAATACGCTACCGAATGCAAAAAGAACGAACTAAATATCTTGAAAACTGTAGGAGTAGTTAAGGCCTCGGACAGACGGACGGACAGAGAAAGTAGCTGCAATAGCACACCCAACTTCGTTGCAAAATGCCCTAAAAATTATCAGGTTTATTTTGATGCACGAGTGTAATTCGGGGGAATATTTCCCGAATAAACATTACAAACTCACCTTACCTACTTATAAAATTGTTAAGTGTAATTCCCATGAAATGTGCCATTATCGCAGGGCTCTTTCGTTTTCTACAATGCAATTACCGCTGTAATTGACCGATAATTGCACACCTCAAATGGGATTTATTACATATGAGGCAAATATTCATTCGAAAATTTGCTTACGTTTAGGTTTTCTTTATCCAAGTTAAATGAAGTTAAATTGCTGATTGCAAGATTTATTCCACAAACGGAGAGACAAGTAGGCAAGTAGAGTATGTAGGTATATAAAAAAACACGGAGATTACACTTTTTTCGAGAATTCGAAAAGTGGTGCAAGTTATATCGTTTCTTATGCACCCAAAGACAACGAGTAATACGTAATTGCGAATATGAAGTGATATTTGCTTTGTATGTGTACCTGCAAAGATTATCAGCACTTCGCCCCAGATGTAAAAATGGGGATTTCTTGTGGGACAGCTTTCTAACAATAAAGTATCAATACTTCTTTCCCTAGACAATTTGTAAAACCATTCCAATAAAAGAAATCTGTAGAAGAACCAACACATTGTTGTATGCGCTAATAGATGGAGCAAAATAGAGGGATAGCAGGTTTTTAAATAAGGGGACATTTGAAACAAAACTTAGCGTGCTTTTTCCCCTTAAGATTGACCGTCTGTAGTATATGTTGTCTGTGCTCATATGAAACGTATTTACAACAATCCCCGAGTATTAGAATGATGCGATTCGCAAACTCTTATCCGCAGATTGCATTAATAGGTGTTTGTCTATCGCGGTTACTAAATGATATGGACAAATCATACCTACTAGATTACTGCTTACCTACTATATTTATTCTTATTTTGCTTTTTTACACTAATTTAAGCAAAATTACCTATTGTGAATTGTAAACAAAACATTGATTTTTTGGGGTCTCTCCCGTAATATTATAAATAAATAAATAAACAAATAAATACCTACCTAGGTATCTTTCTGTTCTCAGTTTTCGTTTGCTATTGGCCGAACTCACTTAAGTGCACCTCCCTCTAGTTTACAAGTCACAGGAATAGACACACCCAATGTCGTCAAAATCCCTACAGTTTTTACAATATTTTGGATTTATTTTTTAAAATATTTTGAAATGAAAAGAAGCAATGAATAGCAAATAAAAAACTGTATCGAGTTACGTGGAATTTTTTTCTTATTGAGTAATTTTTTTTATGTCGTTCTCCTTTTTTAATTTTTTATGCGAACTACGTCAAACACATGTTCAAAATCATGACGTAACTTGAGATGTATAGTCATTAAGGATCTATCCCAAAAGACAGAATGCATTTTTAATAAAAATTAGAGCTATAAAACTGTAAAAACTTTTGCGCCGCCTTGATAAAGTAACCTTAAAGGGGCAGTATACCCAAATTTCATCTTTTGGTCTAAAGATAGATTAAAAATATCTAAGAGTAACGGTGAAAACCGCAAGTCGCTACGCCGTTTCGTTATTAAATGGCAAGGTGTCGAATGTAAAAAACGGTCGTTGTGACGTCATCCCGACAAATCGGTCGGTGGCGCGCTATAGCAATATATGGATTCGATGACGTTTGACGTGTTAATTTGAGACTGGTAGTCAGTGATCTGCATTATTTTCAAAAATGCTTAACTTTGTGTTTTCCGCTGCAACAATAATTTGAAAAATGCCAATGTTACATTGCAAATTTTCCCCGAGAAAAGAAGGAGCCGTGTCGAAATAAAGTCTGGAAAAGTAGAAAAAACCGCTGAATCATAGATAGTCACGTCGTTTGCAGTGCCCACTTTAAAGATGATAATTTTTTGTGGAAGATACAAGAAGGAAAGGACCTTGTGCCTCAGCATAAAGTTTTGAGAAGGCTAACAATACTGCAATCCCTTCTTTACATCTCACAAGAAACAAAGGTCCTAATAAAGCTACAAAACGTCAGTCAACTTATCTAAGAAAGTAAAATTGTGTCTGATTGCTTATTGTGGGTAAACGATCAACTTCGTAGTGGAGAAACCAGTTCAACATCAAACATATGCCACCATCAAACAGAAGAACTGAATCAAATGGAACCAATACCGCTTACTGAAAGCATAGGTATCTGGGTACAGAAATTTATTACAAATATTCAAATTTATATCAGGATATATATGTTCGGATGATCCTTCAGTAAGGTTTTCTTGTTGTTTTTAAAAAGAAAGGGAACTAGAATATGAAAGAACTGACGCGTTTGGACTGCTTGGATCCGTGCCGCCGCACCTACGATGTCGGGATGACGTCACATATTCTGTTTTTCAAACTTTCATCGTTAATAATTTGAAAACTACTCATCGTAGAAAACTCCGGTTTGAAATTTTGTTCTTAGATTTTCTTATACAATTTTTTTGATTTTGGGTATACTACCCCTTTAAGATGCCTTAAGTAGCTTGTTATTAATTGAAGAAAACTACAACTTTGGTATATGATAGTTTCAACTTATATTTAATTTAAAAAAATCTCTACTTGCGTAAAAAATGTTAACAATAAACAAAAAAAAAATGTATTAATACATAAGGAAATTTCCCGTTTTAGCAACATATGCCGATAAAATGGGACTTACAGTGTGTTTAAAATGGGATACACATAAATTTATACGCATGTCACATTTAAAATACTCATCAGCATTCTCCGATCCACCGCATTCTGCATGAACCCGTCTGCTGCAAATATCACATTGAACCCATTGCTCTCCTGGTTTACTGTTAAGAAAGCTGGCTTCGCAGTAGAAACATATGGGGTTCTCTACCATATCAGTCATTTGTTTCTCTGATCTTCCAGTGTTTGCTTGCTTAACGGTTTTTTCTTGGCTTTTTCTGGCGGTCTGTGTTTTAGTCTTTTTCTTAACTGATTTGCCTGTCTGTGCTGTCGTCATAGATGATGGTAAGGGCTTCATTGAAACCTTCCGACTTTTTGCTTCTAAATTGGTTTTCAGCTCCTCCTTATATGGTGTGCTGGTTAACACTGCTGCTTTACCTCTGTTTTTACCTTTGGCGTCCGTCTTTCTTTCCTGGGCTTTAGGATACGGTCTTATCATTTCTGGTGAAATAAGAGTTTTGCCTTGTACATATTGTGCCAGAGGAATATCTTCATCACTGCTCGTATCGTTATCTGATTTGGAATGAACTGGTGTGAACGTCGCCTGATGATGTTGCGTAGGATGTGAAGAGGATGTAGAGGGAGGGGGAGTTTGATGCCGAACTGTGCGTGGTGTCTGAATTTCTGTTGCGGTTTCATCTGATGATGTGCCATTCTTCGGCATGTCTGTTGGATTAGCAGCCATGAACATATCTTCAGTGAAGATATGACGGTTGACAGGAAACAAACCCGTTTTCTCGAAACCACTTATTGCATTGTTGGGTACGGCTGCTTTTAGGTAAGCCTTTCCGAACAGTCTACCTACTTGAAAATGGTAACAACGCGGCCTGGATTGTTTCGCAAAAATATTTCCACTTCTTGATTGTAAAACGTTGACAGTGGTCCCATAAAGGCCACATCTAGTGGCTGCATTCGATGGCTGCAGTGTGGTGGAAGGCACAATATTGTTACTCCATTGTTTCTAGCTTTCTCAATTACAGCAATATTTTGAGTGTGGGTTTTGTGTCCGTCCATAATCAGCAATGCAGGATTTTCCACTGACGCCATACTGTGTTTTACAAAATGATCAAACAGGTTTAACTGCATCCAACCTGATGGGTGGCATGCCACAAGTGTTTCTGGAGGAACTCCTATCGAAAATTCCTCCTTATTCCTTACTCGGGGATAGATCATCATGGGTGGAATAAAGCTTCCCGAAGCACTCATGCATATTACAGCTGTGCTAAGTGTTCCACGTTCAGCTGAACTGAGAGTACCAACCTGTTTCCGATCTCTCATCGCAATAATTTTGGATGGATGTCCTTGCACGGTCGACATCCCTGTCTCGTCAACATTAAAAATTCTTGACGGTGTATATTTGTTTTTATCTTGTAATGGCTCCAATAATTCAAAAAACTTATCTACAGATACTCTATTAAATCCCCTAGCACGTGCCGCTGACGTTGCTTCTGGTGTCCGAAGAGAGAGACGATTCCTCTTCATAAACGCTCGCAACCAAACCCACCCGGCCATTTTTTTGTTAGCGTTAAAGAAATGCCTTATATTATTCCTTTCTGCGAACTGGTATGCTAGTCTTCTGACATCTGTAGTTGTTAAACCGAAAAGCATACACTCCATATTTTTTATGTAAGCGACAAGCTGTTCTTCTAATACGATGGAGAAAGTTTGTTGCCTGCTTCCCAGGCCTTTTGCCGAACCAGATATTTGTTTGTTGAAACCTTTTACACGCCTTTCTAGCGTGCTTTTAGGCACTGAAAAAACCTTCGACGCCTTCAAGTAACCAAACTCTCCAGTTGAAACTGCTTTAATTGCTTCCGCCATTGCGATTTCCGACCAGGACTGACGATTTGTTTTCCTTGGTGCCATATTTATTTTACGGAAGTTCCTTATATAAGCAAGAAAAATTACAACATGAATATTACCTTTCGGCACAGAATAATAGGATAGAATAACACCGCGTGTTTATAAAATGGGATAGGTACTATCCCGTTTTAGCAAGACGGCCGGTGTCCCATTTTATCAACATGTAAACATCGACTAAAAACAAAACACCATTTTGTAACCTACAAACTGAACCCAATAATTTTACCTTTAAAGTAAAGGCATATGATAGGGAAACTAATAACTGTAGTAGCGTTTCAATCTGACCAACTGATAAAAGGGTACGCTTACGATTGTTAACTAAATTTCTTATACGAAAATTGTGAAAAAGTTTTAAACTCACCTGTAGCCGTTTGTGATACCAACGGAGCTTCGGTAAAACTGTAGCAGATGTCTTTCTCTGTGGACAATCACATATAACATTTCGCAATAGGTGGCGCCTAAGCATCACTGCAAAACTAACAGTGTCCCATTTTAAACAGTGTCCCGTTTTAGGTAACTTTCCCCTACTACGCATTTAAATCAAGTAGCCAGCATTATCGACCTAGGTGTTACTCTCGATCCGGCCCTTAGGTTTCACCTCCACATACAGAAAATAATATCCAAGGCCAATCAAATGTTGGGTTACCTGAAACGTACAACACATTTCACCAATGTACAGACCTTAAAAATATTGTACTGTTCGCTCGTCAGAAGTCAAGTGGAATATTGCTCTTCGGTTTGGGACCCTCAATATGAAAAATACGTTATCGCACTTGAACGTGTACAACGTAGATTTTTACGATATGCCGCTTTTAAATTAAATCTTCCACTGCACAGAGATGAGACGTCATATTCGGAAGTTCAATCCATCTTAAAATTAAGTTCGTTATATTCTCGCCGCAAGGTTAATGATGTGTGTTTATTATTCAGGATTTTAAACTGCACTATAAACTGGCCATACTTATTAAGAAATATAAACATTAATGCGCCATCGAGAACATTACGTAGTGCACCTATATTTTATGTACCCTATCATAAAACCAAATATGGACAATCATCTCCCATTTCTAGGATGTGCACCACAGCCAACACTCTATGCAAAAATTTCAGTTTTTTTGGTGTACCTATATCTTTATTTTAAAAATTATTATTTATAGAAAATAGATATGTCTTAGAGTAACAATATTTAGTTTTATATTTCCACCTTGTATATCGTTTGCGTTAGTTTTATGTAGTTATTTAGTTTTTATTTAGTTTTTCCAATACGTAACCCTTCATATATTATCTCTATCTTTTATATCTATTGTAGTTATATATCTCATAGTTGTTTGTCTCACTTACGCGCTGCTCTCCACGTTTCATTTTTCTTATATGTATTAATGTGTTTTTTTTTCTTTTTCTCTTTGTTATATAATGGGCAACCGTAAATAAATAAATAAATAAATAAGATTGTTAGAAATTGGACACGACATTTATATGTTAACTTAAAAAAGATACATTTTTGGAATTTAAAATCCCATTGCTCTGGACAGTATAATATCATTTTAGATTGTACAGAAATGCGAATTGAGCGCAACAGCAACCCTGTCTTTCGTTTCAGACGTTTATGGAGGTTCGATCACCGACCGCAAAATTTCAGAAGTATTAGGCCTGCTTGACCTTTTGAAGGGGGGTGATTATGTTTTAACCGATAGAGGGTTTGATATATCAAAGAATTTAAATATCCCACCTTTCAAGAGGGCTAATCAGTTAACAGAAGAGGAGGTGTTTAAAACACGAGCCATTGGAAATCGCAGAATTATTATAGAAAACTTAATCGGAGCAGCAAAAAAAACAAAATTTTAACAGATCGAATCCCACAACATTTGTGGAACATAGTAAATGAAATAATATACAACTGTTTCATGTTTGTTAATTTTAAGCCCTCTATTGTACATAGTAAATTAGAAAAAGAATGAATAACATATGCTTAACATGCTGACAAATACTTATATAAACTAATTATTTAACATTTGTAAAAAATAGTTAAAATATACATAGTGTAAGTATTCCGAAGATTTCTTCTGTTCCGCACAACAGCTTGCTTGAATGTATATATTGCTGCCATCAATGTACATTTTGCAATATTTAATGAATAACTGCATGGCCAATATACGACCCCTATCGAATCCCTTGTTGGCTTTACGATCCAAAAACCATTTTCGAATCGCTTTATAATTCACGACTTTGTTACCCGTATAGTCTTTCAAGGGCTTAAATAAAGCATCATTGGGATATTCCAAATGCGGAACTTTTAACACCTTTACATCAAAGAGAGATTTATTTAAGTTTTCCTCTTTCCAAATACGTAACCTAAAATGGTCCATAGGTTAGAATTAGTACAACTCATTTATTCAAAATTCCTTTAGCGCACATTTTAACTCTTGTATACTCATATTTCTTATTCTTTACTCCAGAGATCAGCTGATCCAATACCAAAGTGCAACAACAACCGCCTAGCGGTAGAATTCAGAACTAAAAGAGTGTAAGTGGTCTATTAGGAATTGCCGCGTTCACCGATGCTCCAGTGTCGCCTGTTCTGGCTAAACTGTGATGCGTACAATTACCCGACGCGTCCCATTACCCCGACTTCCCCTACGACTACTTCTTAAAATTACTAATGGCAAATTAAAACTAACATTTTTTTGCTACACAACGACCTCTGTTTCTCCTACGATTGAGACACCTTCACCTGTCATTAAATCATATTTTACGCTATATAATTCTAACTTTGACAAATATTTTTTAAAATCGTCAATGTGCATGACTGAACGGCACGCACCACAATCAATTTCAAACTTGACCTTCTTACTCTCGACCATTAGCTCGACGTTCTCTGGTTCTCCTTTTCCATCTCTAATGACGACAGGAATCCCAGGACCAACGAATTTTCATCATCCTCCGATTGACTTTGTTCCGTGACTACGTTGACATTGGACTTTTTGCAAACACGGCTGGTGTGACCAACCTTTCTACACCGAAAACATTCCCATCCTTTTGCAGGACATCTGTCGGGATCGTGTTTCCTTGAACAACGGAAACAAGCCTTTCACTCTCGCTTTTGAGTGCTGGATGTGGACGGTTCACTTTTTCTTTTCGATGATGTTGAGCTCTTTTTAATCGCCAATTTATCTAGACTCTCCTCGACGAACGCTAAGTTGCTAGCGTCCATTCCCATTGATTTGACTTGTCCTTCGGCCAACTCTATTAATAGGGCAGTCTCATAGGCTTTGTCGAACGTTAACTGATCTTCGGACAACAGCTTACTTTTAATGGCATAGAACCTTATTCCACACACGAGCCTGGGCCGGTATCCTCGACTTCATTCGTAGTGTACGCATACGTAGTCGTTTCGAGCGGTTCATTTACGTATGCGCACGGGACGAATAATTGAAAAGCGTTCGTAAACGTTTACGTATTCGTTTTAAATGCGCATGCAATATATTTGGCATTACTGTTATTTTGTCTGGTTTTTAAAAGAGAAAAATTTCCCGCGTTTACAGATACACAGATTTATAGGTTAAGTTACTGGTCTAGTAGGGTTATTGCATGCGAAAATGAATGCCGAACCAAGTAAGAAGAAACATTCTATGCAAATTACTGATAGCCAAAAACAACTACTTACAGAATTTGTTAAAAAACATAAAGACCTACAGAGTGGTAAATTTAGCAGCAAATTTACATATAAGGATGCTGCTTCGAAATGGCAGGAAGTAGCTTCGATTATGAACAGTACTCCTGGAGCTACATGAGATTGGAAGGGGTGGAGAAAGGTACATTAATTTTCCAATTCATAATATTGATATAGATACTTATTTTAGACATGGCAAGATTTGAAGTCACGAGCAAAAATAAAAGCATCCACCAATAAACGATATGCCAGAGGTACTGGTGGTGGACCTCCACAAGAAGATCCTTTGACTAAAACAGAGGAGGACATAATGGAAATTATAAAGGAAGTTTGTGCCGAAGGGCACAAGGAAACCAACGAATCGGAAGTGAAATTTAATTTCAATTCAATTATGAATAATGATATTGATTTCATTCCTGACGAAAACATACAAGAAATTCCAGTAGTGATATCTTCTTCATGTAATAATGTGGATACCATTAAAAACATCGTGGAACCGATTGCACCTTCTACGCCAGGAAATGATATTACGAAGGGTGTATGTACCCCAAGAGTGCCAAAAAATAAACAATTGCACCACACTTTACAAGCCCTAAACAGCTTTCAGCAGAATCTTGACACCCAATCAAGCATTCAGAAGCAGTATTATGAAGAGAAGATAAAGGTGTTGACAAGGATAGCTGTTGCGAAGGAAAAAGCTGTTGAAGTGAAAAATCGGATTGTAGTCGCATTGGAAGCTATCGCTGACAGCATATCATAATATAAAGTGTTCTAATTTACTGTTTAAGTGTAGGTAAAAACATGTTATTAATAAATTTATGCAACAAATTTTCTATAATTATATGTAGGGGAGGGTGTTCCTCATTGAAACAGTTTTTTTTAAGAGATGAAAAAAAATCGTGAATATAGGTTTGCATGAGCAATTTTTTATATATAACTATCCAGGACATATATCTTTAGATAGAAAACACTGTTTTTGACATAACCTTTTTGATTCGCTGATTATGATTTTTTTAACATTTTTCCAAATTTGTGTCACTGTGGAACATAGTGTTCCACACTGAAACATGTATAACATATTTAAAAAAAAAATTATTTTTCCAAATATAAAATTAAATAATAACTCTATCTAATGTCTAAACTGTCTCCAAAAGTGATTTCAAAACTTATATAACTTTGTTGCCTCTTCGTTTGCCCAAAAAACGTTGGGTGCAGGTAGGACCATCTTAATGTCATGTTGTGCTACAGTGGCAATGTCTGGCACGTTTGGTAAAACAAATTTTCCCTCCATTTTTTTACTTTTACGGTAATAGCTCACTTCAAATTCCCCTTCCTCATCCAGGTTAATGATTTTGCCTATGTAGTAAATTAATTTTTCTTTATCCAAAAATTCTACTAGGACATAATCTCCTACAATAGGTGAACGTTGCAGCTCTTCAAATGCAGTAGGATCCACTTCTGGTTGCCAGTCTTCATCTATTGAAGATTAGATTGAAGCTATCACGGCGACATCTTCATCTGAAGAATCCAAAATTTTCCGTTTATACCGACGTGCTTCTTTTTTCTTGGGAGGAATTTTTCGTTTGGCTTGGCGCTCCTCGATTTCCAACTTCTCTGGTGTATCAGTCGCTATAATACTTTTGCCCTTTCTTCTTGTAACTTTTGTTTTGCGTTCTTCAGCCTTAGGATAGCCTTTAAATTGTGAAGGCGATATGAATACTGTGCTTGGTTCATTTGTAATTATATTATTATTATTTGTGCGACATTCACCATGACACTTTATCTCAAATATCAGCCGTGCTTCGTAGTTACATGTCACAGTGAAAATGTCACGTTACACCTGCTCTCTTTATTTTATATGCATAGAATGTAACTTGCAGTTTGTCGACAATTTAATTTGTTTTTTTTTTTAAATATGAATTTAATTATTTTGTTGTTGTTTAGTTATGTTAAGATTTTGAGTTTTTGTTGTGTTTCTTTCTTTTTCTTTTTTTTTCTTATTTAAATCATTGCGCGTTAACTATTATGTATTGTCCTGTAATGGGAAGGTCTGTTCTGTTGGGCAATAAATCTCTATTATTATTATTATTATTATTATTATAATGACCAACAAGTGATTTTCTCAGCTCCTCATACCTACGACTTTTGTGCTGGGTAGCTCTGGTGCCAACAAATCTTTTAACACATTGTAGGCCTCGCCCCCAATTAGGGTTAAAAGTAACGGGACTTTTTTATCCGCCTCTACAATATTACAAATAAATAGTTGCTCTAATCTTTCTAAATATGACGAAATATCAGTTTCTTTAGGATTAAACTGTTCGATGGATCCGATTAACGACATGGCTGACTTGCTCGGTATCTGGTGATTTTTCCGCTGTTGTCATGCTTGAGTCGAAAAACCCATCTCGCGTTTATACATTGTTGGTCTTCGGGCAATTTCGTAACTTTCCATACGTTGTTTTTACGTAGGGCACTCAACTCGTCTTTGATCGCTTCCTCCCATTCAATCTTCTCACGACTACTCATTGCCTCTTCATAAGTTTCTGGAATGTGAACTTCCGAAAAGGTAACCTCGTACTTATTTGGAGCTTTTACATTTCTACGAGATCGTAAATCGTAAGGACCAGTTGGATCATCTTCTTCATCCTCTATAATAATACTGGAGTCAGGGTCACTCTCTTGAACAACATCTCCACTTGTTGTCGTAGGTCATCCCCATCTTCCTTCCCTGTCGTTTCTTCTTCGTTGAATATCACATTTCGGGATATTGTGATTCGTGATGTAACGGGATCGAATAATCTGTAATTTGTAGAGTTATTATCGTACCCAACAAACGTATACTTTTTGCTTTTCGGATCCAGATTCTTGCGATGTACATTTGGAGTTAATACGTAAGCTGTGCTTCCGAAAACTTTAATATGTCGTAATGAAGGTTTGTTGCCTGTCCAAGCTTCGTATGGTGTGATGTTTTCGACTTGTGTATTTCCACTTCGATTGAGTAGATACACTGCGCAGTTAACCGCTTCTGCCCATTACGTTTTGTATACATTTCTAGCATACAACATTGACCTTGCACTTTTCATAATAGTGCGCATTTCTCGCTCGCTGCGGCCATTTTGTTGAGGTGTGTAAACGGCTAGGGTTGCCAGAATCTCAAGGCATTTACGAAAATTAAACCGGGCTCAACCGGTTGCTTTAAAAGCGTTCGAAAATATAAATTTATGTACCAAACCACATTCGATAATTTAGCGGTTGACTAAACGGGTCATTCTCCAGAAATGGCAAAATAAGGTTTTCGAAAAAAAAAACTTTTTTTTTCTAAAATATCAACCATTTTCAAGGAGGTGTTGAATATACAGTTTTCCAATTTAGAAACATAGTTGGTCCAGATCGATTGCTCAGCTTTTCCAAAAAATACCTATTTTTCAAACCTTAATTTCACGGAGTTGAGGAGAGGTATCACGGAGTTGAGAAAAATCTGTATTTAAACGTAAAAAAATGCAGTATATATATTTTGAAAAAGAAGAGCTACATGGAAAATTAAGAAAACTTATATTTCAAAAGGTTGTTGGAAAATGAATATCGACCCCGATGAATTGACGGTTTACCAAGAACTTCGATTACATCCCTCAGTTCCATCACAGCTCTGTCCTCTTTGTTTGGAAATACAAACTTGCCGCCAACTGCTGTTCTCATAAAGAACACACCAAATTCATTTTCATTTTCTACTGCTTCAATGTAGGCTATATAGAACTTCATATTCTTTTTCCCTACGAATTAATAAGGTTAGAAATACACACTATTTAAGAATTTGTCAAGTTAGGTACCTTGTAGCTGTACCACAACATAGTCACCTACATCAAGATCACTGAAATTGTGGATTATTGTCTCAGTATCTTGGTGACATTCAGAACTAGCACTAGATGTTTCATTATCGCTGTCAATTTTTCGATCCAAATCCATCTCTAATAATTGCAATGCTGTGATAATGTTAAGAAAACACAATTTAGTGGACTTATATAGATAGCTGAAAATTTTAAAATGAAAAGGATACGTGATGGTTTCGAAAGTTGTATGGTGCCCAGGCCGTAGTGAATACAGATTTCATCTGGCTTACATTCTAAGCAGGAAAGTTCACGTGCTTGTATCATAAAGGGCTTTTGAGAAGACCACGTAAGCTCATGAACTTTCATTGTTCCTTTAAAAGTGCAGAGATTTTTTGGTACAATAGCGTCGATATCAGTAATCTTTTGACTGGGTACGGAATATATTCGGATGTTTCTTGTATTTTCTTTCAACTCTGTAACTAGAGTCCCAAAATCAGAGATATCATTGCCTCTACCAACCAAGACGTCGGCAGTTCGTTTCAAGCAGCCACCTACGCCATCGGGTGCTCCCTTTCCATGCCCTTTTTCACTGAAATGCCATCGAAAGGTCCGAATTCCCAACATTTTCGCAACGAACCCTACCATCAAATGAAACATTTTTTTGTTACGATATTGTGTGGACGGTCCGTCGCTTAGGAAATTCGCATGTCGGATGTTTGGTACCAGCTCCTTGATATCTTCTAGCAATGGTTCGAGGTGGGCACAGATTGCCGACGGGTCATGTCGCAGATCTTCACAAAATGTACAACATGATAAAGGTTTAAGTTGAGATTGTTCATTTCTATAATATATTACAACCGTATGTAGAGATATTTGGGGCTTCGAACCACCAAAATGCGCAGACTGTACTTCCTCGCCGTATTTACAATTATAGTTTTCGCTGAAATCCATGTGCAAAAGAACTTCGTCATTTTTGAGCTCTGTTTTAATTTTATCAATAACTTGATATTGGTGCTGAATATTCCTGACATGGAGGAAAAAAGAATCGATGCAATCCTCAAGCGCTAGCAGCATTTCTCCTTTTGTAGTTTTCACAGTTTCCTTTAATGTTTTTTGACAAATCTTATCTTCTCCTTTTATGGTGACGTTAACTCTTTTCGATATCCAACGACAATATTCTGCTGGTTCTGTGATGAGAAAACTGCTATCCATTCTGTTTATTTTTGTGCCTTTGCAATCCGGGCATTTTCTTTCAAGACAAGGTTCTTTGGGGATTTCGGATTCTGACTTGCAACACAAGCTTCTGATTACATCCTTCTCAGACGATTCATTGATTATGTTTAGTTGTTTCAGTTTCCTCACAAGTAATGACATGTTAGCATGAGTGGAACACAGACACGTTTCCCTGCATCTCGCGTTAGGAATCAATACCCAGAACGGGCGGAGTTTGCAGAAGCTGGCATAACTGATCTTAAGATTAGAATGGGCAGCAAGGAACTTCTTGTGTAGATTCATAAGCGAGTCATTGAGATATCTCTTTTGTTTCTTACATTTCCTGAATGTTACTGTATCCTTTTTTCCTGGACACATCCTGCTGTTCTCGTCCATTTCAAGAAAATCTGTTACGTAAATCCTGAAACGTTTCAGTAATTCTTTCTTTTTAGAAGGCAGTGGTATTGATTTTTTGTAGATTTTTCGTGAATATGATAGGTTTCTGATATACTGCATACATTTGTGTTTTTTGACAATTTTGCCAGACAAATTTGCAACAAAATTTGCTTTATCACGACTGTTTTCTAAATTGGCCAAATTGTTCTTAATCTGAGAAGTGATTACCTCGCCTACTAGCAGTCTCTTTTTCACTTCATTAGAGACGGTTTGATTCCCTATAATCAACTTCACATTCTTTTCGGGCGTTGCCAATGGTGCAGAT